TGCGCCATGTATCCTTTTGCGGTGCACGAGCGAACGTTGCACGATGTCAAATTGCTTGCACTTGGGATTTCTTGGCTAATTGTTCTACGTGAAACAAACGACGCGTTATCTTTACAGCTGTTTCTCTAGATACTATTGTTGCTCGCGAATTATCGCTTCTTCCGCGTTCTATTCTGCTATTCCGCGCAGAATATTACCCAGAAAATTTCTTTAAAGATAAAGTATTAATTAGTCTTTGGGAGTCGACTTGGAAATCACTGGAATAAGTGTTCTACTAGCCCCGATCGTCATGATTCACCTTCGAGTTCAGAAAACTGGTACCATCGTAATTAAATATCACGAAACGTTGAAGGCTATAATAAATTAAACGTGTCTCTCTCGCGACACTAAGAAAAAAAAGAAGAAGAAGAAGAAAATGAATGACGGCACGAAAAATAGCATCGACCTCGCGCGTTGGACGGCATGTAATGCACATCCATGCATACATTTGCAGCTGCAGCATGGCAGCGCATATGTGGCCCGCTAATGTTGGTATACGTTAAGAAAGATTAATAACGCATCGCTACTGGAAGACACGCTTTCAAACGATCACGATTGGTGTCCCTTAAGTGTGAACAGCAGCGTTAACAATAACACTTCGCCTCTATATAAGATCATTTTCATTCATGTCCAGTCTGAACGTTGATATACGAGCTGCACGCATTCTTATTTCAGAGGTGTGCACAAGTGTCGCAACGCGTTCTCTTGATATTTATTACATGCTAACGAAGAGTCAGAAGCTAAAGTTGCGTTCGATCCTCGTATTTTTTACTTAAATATATATATATCGCGAATCGATGTTTCATAAATTAATCATGAAATTTCAAAAAGAAGATTATGCGGGGCAGGTTCTTAGGCCGCCGTTTCAATGGCATTGAAGTCACTGCGTGTAATCGTCTCGCGAGAAATTCGAGACCATTATTGTACGGGTTTGGTCGAAAGATTTTTAAAGCAACGATGTTCTTCAAAATATTTTACTTGATATTTTACTTGAATATATATATCGCGAATCGATGTTTCATGACTTAGTCATGAAATTTCGAAAAGCAGAATATTCTGTATTTTGCGGTAATTATACTCTGCGATGCGATGCTCGAATATACTGCATTTTGCAGTATTGTGTTTTATTTTGCCAGTTAAAAAAAAATGCAGCGTTACCTGCATACGTGTTACCACATTTAAAAAACGAAAACATACTTTAATTTAAATTCCCGTTGCTCATCTGTCTATATAAAAATAAGAATTTGCATAAACAACCACACTTATTACCCCTAAATCGCTTATGTTTGCTCAAAAACAAAATAATGAAGGCCTCCTTAAAACCTTCTCCAATTTAAATTCCACTCAGTACCGAACGAATAACTCACCGAGAGTTGTTCATCTTCGCTTATTCATGATTCTAGATTTGTTATCGGAATGAGAGAGAGTTTTGCCCGTCTCCGATGAGGAATGGCCGGCGCAGGGGGACACTTTCTTTGCGAGTAACCTCGTGTACGTCGCCGCGAGTGTTCGGCATCGATCATCGAATTTTTCCATTCACCGTACGAGCACGGAACAAAACCTTGAAGACGCTTCCGGCGTCGTGGCGGCATCGCTTCTGCAACCTCTTCTCCCGGTGCATTAGTCGCGGTAATGCTCGGCGATAATTAAGGTATAACATGTGTACACTGGCGTCACGGGCCCATTATTATTTGCGCGAGGTTGCGACTTACGGCCACCGCATAGCTGGGGACGATGTTTCTTGCCGGCACGACATTTTTCTTTCCACCGGCTATCATTAATCTCTGCCCCGAGCGACTAGGTGTGGACGTTTCCCATTCAGTTTACCCGGTCTGGGCCTGCATGCGAATTACGTATTAATATACAGCACCGTGGAAAAGTCATATACCACTTACTACGGTGTATTACATCTTTTACATTTTTAACTGAAGAGAATGTACAAATTTACGAATGTACAATGTACTTTTGTACGAATGTACAAAATTTGTTTAGTTAATACGAAATGAGTAACCTCGATTCTTTTGGAGTGAAACTAGACATTTTTGCATGCATTAAGAGATGCACTTTTATATCCACTTTAGAAAAGTGTGAAAGGTCCCAACAAAATTCATTAAAAATTTATTAGTTTTAAAAGTTCTGAATTTTTCTGTAGCGGAGAAAGAATGTATAGTCAAAACATACGCATCGTGAAATACGAAGTCTTTACACTACTCAGTTTCCAAGTTAAAAATTCCTTAAGCAGGCCCCTTAATCCCGCCTGGGGCTCCTTAATCCCCAGTCAACGATCGCATATCTCACGAGCATAATTTCCAACCGACTGAACGGAGCGCCATAGCGGTGTGTTTTCAGCAACAGTGTAACCACTTGGATCGAGTCGAGGTCGTTAATCGTCTACCTGTTCGCCGTACGCTAGCAGGAATGCGACTTTCCACGTCTAAAAGTATCCAACTGAGCGAACAGGCTCTATTCTCGACGTGCGCATTTATCCTCAAAGAGTGTTCGCACGTGTGAAACACGACGTCTGCATCGTAATTACTAGTCCACGATCATAACCTGGATTAACAATGTTACGCCAACAAAACAGTTCCCCGTCGCGATAACGATTGACTAATCTCTACTCTTAATAAAAAGCGCGCTGCGCAATCTTTGATCTTGTTCGCGAATTCTCGGTCATTTCTTACAGACGACCCAGAGGGCTGGTTAGGTATGTAAATGACGTTTCGAATGGAATGTTTAACGGCTGTTTCGAGAAAACCACGAATACATAGATCAATTTATGGATCACTTACAATTAAGACTTTCGAATACTTTTCGATTATTATTGAATGTATCTTGTAACGAATAACTTTAAAAACTGTTGTACAATATAGTAGAGGTCTCGAGGAATAGCCATGAATTTTTTCTGAATTTTTGGAAGCTTATGGCCGTGAATAAATTAGACCTAATGGAGACACGCCAGGATGGCTGACGGAAGAAGAGGAAAGATGACCGCAATTACTGCGAACACTTCAATCATTGCGTTATAACGGTTCTTTGAATTAAATGTACAGCTTCGATGATTACTCTGATTCGACGTGTATAGAGTATTTATTGCTCGCACACCTTTTATACGTAATGGTTTATTTAATTTACAAACGCGAATAAAATGAATCGATCGTCTTTGAAATTTCACACGTTCTTCTTATTTGAATATCATCCTAAGAGTCAGGCATAGGCAAACACTTTTCATAATTTTTAAGATACTTTTCGAACAATGTTATAAAAGAATGTTACACAATGCCTTCAAATCCTCCAAAGCGATGATTTTAACTAAAAATAATTTTTTAAATAATTTTTAACGCGAATATCGCGTCCACGAGCAATAAACCGATAAGTGGCTGGTGAAATTGCAGCTCATTAAGAGCTCTGCAAGACCAGGTAACGTGATCGAGATGATACGGGCACCGAGGCGCCAGCAGGAGGCAATGTAACGACGAACGAACCCAAGCCAGCTTAAACGATTTATAATGATCGACTCGTGCGAACAGTAGCCAAGTAGGCAGACTACTTAACAAATCACGCATCCACCTTTTCACGCCTACTTGACCGCCACACCTCCGCAAAATTGATCTGACGTCGAACAAAGAGGATGCCAGAGGGTGACTTGTAACAAAATTTTTGTGCCGAGGTTCCCCTTCCTCAAACGCTACTCATAAAAAAATATATTATCATTAAAAAAAAATAAGAAAAAAAAAATTAAAAAACTCAAAGCATCGTAGAAGAAATAAATACAGTGAATTATGTTTATCAATGTTATTGCACAAAGTCTGTGTGATACAGTGTATGTTTGCAACAGGTTTACTGCAATAAAAACGTCAAGTACACCGAATTAAAATAGACCATTTAATTCGATTAAATCATCCCGCATCCTACAGAGAAATTCCTGTCGTTCAAAGATGGTATTTTCACCTGCAATGGAATTTAAAATAAAGATACGAAACCTTGCAGTAGGAAATAATTCTCGCAATTAATTTCGCTGTCACCGGTCGAAACGAGATGCTGCGAGCAAAGCAACACGCACGCATTGTGAATAAGATTGGCAGACTTCCATTGGACGCATTTAGTGGTTGTCGGCAACTCGACAGAAGATCGTAATAACGGCTACATAATAACTGCAAAAATATCCTCTAATTATTCCTGGCTGGCAATGGGAGAATATTCATTACAGCTGGTATTCCGCACGGATGCAACAATGAGACTTAGCTATACTTTGTACGTTGGATTCTAATTCGGACGGGCGGCCGACGCGGTGGAGCGAGAATAACAGAATGATTAAGTGCACGTAGATGCCTGGAAATTTATAACTCCCATGCGAATTCGTGTATAACCGGTGTTAGAAGTTATATAGCTGTTGGGCGAGGTGATTGCTCTCAGAGAAATAAACTGGAAATTCTTAATAGAATTTTGTCACGCCTGGCTTCGTTATTCATCAAAATTAATAACGCTCTAGCTCGAAACTCTTCAAACGTGTACAACAAATAGGATACAAAGGTTTCCATATTTTATACAAAATCACAACGGACATTTGCACCTTTTATGGACCCAGCGATACCTTAATTGTGGTTAACAAAGAAGACACGAGATTTTTGGGTAGGTATGCCTGATCGATTTAGATTACAATTAGTTTTATTAATCGGTCCAAAAATAGGCGATAATACTACTTGTACCACGCTCCTAGCAACGTAATACAAACATAATAGCCTGACGTGTTTGCCACAGCTCACGCAATATAGACAATTTTTCACCCGTAACAATTGTCACAAAATCAAACTTCTTCGACAACTGTGCCACTAATTCGCATAAATCGTTACACTGGTCATCGAAATAGGAACACCTTGCTTTCTCCCATACACGTTCTCCTTCTGTCACTTTACGTGAAACAAACGAGAGTAAGCAAAATAGAATATATCTAGTGAACTTACCTCGTTGCTGGTCGCAGGTTCCCATCCGCCCGAGCATCGAATTAGCACGGATCTTCGAGTGGAGGAAGTCCAACAGTGCACGACTTACACGACACCCACGACTCACCCAGGCACGGTCGCATAGAAAGCGTTTCCTTTCTACGGAACAAAGACGCTTCGTCGATGCATCACTTTCTAAAGGAATGCGTCGAACTGGCGGGAGAACTTTTACAGAAGCACCATCAACAGAACAACGTGTTCCGATTCGCGCATTTCCACTTTCTTAAACCGCGTTTCACGGGATATCTTCATGAGGATGACGGTATTGGTCTTCAGGGCGAGTTCATCTTCGAGTGAAGAGACGCCTCCGAGACTGCCGGAAGTGTCCTAGAGGATCTTCGAGCGCGACGATCGTGGAAGTCCCGACAGGCGAAAATTGACATTGTTTTCTAGGTGAATTGGAACATCACGGACCCAACGAAATTGAAATTAAGAAATTGTAATCTCGTCGGAACGGAGATACATTCTGTGTCACAGAATTTTATCACGAATAAAAGACAAAACTGACGCAATTCGTTGTTAAGTTATCCTAAACGCGTTGCCGATTTCGTTGACGCTACGATTTCCACGTTTGTCAGCGAATTTCGCCGCTTCTGATAGAAAAAATAAGTATCTTCCCATTGTTGAATTGCCAGAATGAAACATACATCCTTGTCTCCTCTCCAACTCGAACGGAGTTGTTATTCTTATCTGGCAGGTTCGCGAAGGAGCCATCTTTGTTATAATAAAATTACATTTTCAAGTATATAAATAAAAATTCCCATGAAAACAGCTCTAAAAATGGCCAAAACTATTGCCCTTTCAAGTAGGTTGTAAATTTACTATGAACGAAAGGATTTTGTCCAAGACGGAGTTCCAAGGCGACTTTTTCATTTTCGGGTGATAAGCTATCGAAGCTGGAGGAAAAAATAAAAAAGTTATTTTTCTCGCTTATATTTTACCGTAACGCAAGGATATTTTTATCAGCATGAATCGGTATATTAAAATGAAATAATTACTACGTGCTTTTTAGATAATGAAAATATCGATACCCTTGCTGTGGAAACGTCAAATAATGACGTTCACGAGTGAAAAGTTATAAATAATGCACTTACCTTCCATGATGCGCCTCACAGCCTCTTCGAGATTAGCTCCTGTATCCTTTAAAATGACGTACATGAGTGGCAGCATTTCCCAAGAATACTGAAAGAGCTCCAGAAGCTTGGTACTATACTCCAGTAACAACTCCACACTGTCACCTGTAACGGAAATACAGGTGTTACTCCAATACATGGACAATAATAGTAATAAAACAATGAATTTTTTGTTGGTCTAATGTAACAAAGAGAAAAGAATTATCTTTTGAAAATACTCGTATGTTTCATATAATTTTAAGATCAATCACACGTAATAATTTTGATTTCATATTTGGTAGTTCGACAAATATCATTCCATCGCAGCCTGTATACTCGAGAATGTTTATTTGAAATTTGAAATATTATTTTCAATTTCGTTTATTCTCAAACATTAATATTTACATCGCTGTATACGAATATTAAATGCCAAGGTTGCCTGCACGTAATACTCTCTTTGAAAATGTTCCAAACTGAAATTATAACGAGAACATTGCCAGAATATGTTGTACATAATATTCACCGAAAATCTATTTCATTTCCAAGTAATTTTCAGTAAGAAACTCTCGTTTTGATAATGTGTCGTACGTGTTTATTCGTACATTCAATAATTTTCACGCGAGATGAAACTGAAACGGGTGCAGTCGAGAAACCAAAAATATAAATGATATCCTTTTTATTCATATTTAACGACCCATCCGTTCCGTTATCTGTAATAGAGTCGACTTTCTCATCGTTTTCTAACACCTGCTACTGTCGACGACAGGTATCGAATTGAGAGCAACCGGTGAATTGCATTTGCCGGGAATCGTTATCGATAGCTATCGATGTCAATCACCAGAGAAGTTACGAGAACGAACACGTAGAGTTTACGTCGTAAACTAAAAGAATCACAGGGTGAGGGAGCTAAACTGTTACAGAGCGATAATGTCTAAACTATCGTGGATACAACAAAAATCTTACAGGAAAAAGTTAGAAGATCCTTTTTTTTCTTTTTTTAGTCCAAATGCTGAAGCCGTCTCAACACCACCGCTAATTTTTTTTAATGGAATCGTGGGATTTTGTTTGCACATTATAAAATTAGTTTATAGAAAGAATTCGCAGAAACATATTCCCTATCTGATCCTATTGCCAAGTCAACAGTCGTTACAACTGATTTTATTAAAATGTTGCACCGAATGTTCTGTAACTCCTAATTTGCCTTAATGAGAGATGAACGGGTCAATTTTACCTACATCTCTTAAGTAACAAAATAAATCACTGGAGAAAGTTTCATTAGATGTACGTCGCATATGATTTATGTATAACGGTGCACCTGCTCATTTCAGCGAAATAGCCAAAGAGTACTTGACCGAATGACTATCTAAATTCCAGTGAATGAATAGGTCGTGCAAAACCTATTCCTTGGCTTGCTTGTTCTGCAAATTTACATGCGCTAGATTTTCCTTCGAGGCCACCTGAAACCATTAGTTTCTTCAACAACCATTGCCAGGGTTGAAGTCAAGGGTTTCCTAAGAGAAGCTTTATAATCTTTTCAAAAAAACGCAAATGGAGTGGAGTGCGTGCAATTTATGTAACTTTTATAATATAAAATATATCGTAGATATATAATAAATCGGATATATTCCACAACTAAACTCTCTTAGTTTATCTCGGTATGTCTCGTTCATCGTCTTCGTTAAAAATTTCTTCGCGCTTATGTTGACGTATTGACAGTTCAGGCGAGATCGACTGGGTTAAAATCGCAGCAATGTATCATGTGGTAGCCTTCCGGTTAAATCGCGTCCGCTTTCGCCGCAGCGGCGAAAACGCATAGTATGCCCCCGGCCTAACGGATTCAGCCAATACAGCCAATCGAACTGCCTCGCCAACTTCTGACCAACGAACTATACATGAACAGTCACAGTTTCATTAGATCCTCCTCTGAAATCTATGTGGTCTAGCGATCGCCAGTGGTTGTAGTGATCTCTTATCTCTCACTTCTTCTATTTTTTTTATTTTGAGAGTCTGAGAAAAGGCGATTACAAATAATGTACAACAATTTTCAGATTCCACTTTCATCGAAAAAGAAAACAAGAAAATAGTATATGTATAAGTAATCAAATATTATTCCCGTCATAAGCCCGCAATAAAATGCTTTATATCTTATCACAGCTTATGAACCCAACCCCTCACCATCACCGTTCGGTCACGAGCCATTCTAAACGCGTAAACGCGATTTTCTGAAGGTACCCGAGCACAAAGACCGAAGAATCCTCGCACCGAATGCCATCGTCATCCGTAAATCACAACCGTGCTCGATTTGCTCGCGGTACCACGTGATCCAACTCATCCCTTCGTAAAGGAGATCCTAAAAACGAACCACGCGCATACTCGAGGCAAAGTGGTGACCCGGTGCCGTGGTAAATATCGATTTTAAATAATCAGCGACAAGTCGTTGTTGGTATACCACGAATGGCGCATGTTCGCTCGCGCAAGGGGTGACGGAGGGACGCGAATCCGTAAATGCCAGGCGTCCGCGAACATGGACAAGTACAATAATTCCCTGGCCGATATGATACGATATATTAGACGTTAAGGCAACCAATGGTGGCTCGTACGCACCAGCCAGCTCCGCCTATGAAGGGGCCTTCTGAAGCGTTTTTTAAAAGGTAGGAAATATCTTTCCCTCTCTTCCTCCCTTGGCAGCCCCGTCGCACACAATCACTTTCCCCCTGTTCATTTCCACGCGTTGTCTGTCCCTCTTTCGCCATGGTGCACCTCCCTCTCTAACCACCACCCTCCCGCCGTTTTATCGAATAGACAACACGACGCGAAGAGCAGGTGCCGCCGGGACTCCCGGCGTTGGTTCCCCTCCTTTTCCCGTGTACAGGTGATCCCGGCCAACCACGTGCTCCGTACGCGCGCGTGTGCACGTCCTCACCAGAGAGCGAGAGCGAGAGAGGGGAGGGAAACGCAAATGCGGGAGTGGGAGAGAAAAAGAGAGCTGGATGGAGGGGCTGCCCCCTAAACGTAGGAAGGCTGTACCGACGATGCGGAGGTGGAGAGAGAGAGAGAGAGAGAGAGAGAGAGAGAGAGAGAGAGAGAGAAAGACCTAGAGTTCGCTCCTTTCAGTGCCATCCAGTCCTCTTGGTCGACCAAAGATTCCGACCAGTGTTGTACACTGTCTCTCTCCCATTTCTTTCCTCTCTCTCTCTCTCTATCTCTCTTTTCGCGGTATGTACTATTTAGTACACACCCCTCGTCGAGCTACCAGTTGTCTGCATACGTCCCCTGGTGTCTCCAGGTATGCACGCTTTCCTTCGCTTCATGGTCTTTTGGTGAACCTTTTACCATCGGACGCCATTTTGTCCGTGACGTCAATGCCGCGCGGTCTCGATAACGCGAACATACGGGTACAGTGGGGGCACTCGTGAAAATTCGCAGGCATGTATTTACGCGGCCTAATGGGAATGGAGGACGAATTTACGATATTTCTACCTAGAGGCCGAACGGCGCGGCGGTCCGGTCGATTTGGCGAGCAAGCCTGCGCTCGGGGTGGGATTCCAGCCAATGGGGAACACGGTTTTCACCGATCATCCATTTAACCGCCCAAGGGTGGCGTTATGTTTTGTTCTGACGGTTGTTTATGGTGGAATGTGCCGAAGGTACTACCTGAAATTTTTTTTTCTTCCTTAGATATTTAACGTCGCATCAACCTTTGATTATGTTGGTCCAAATATGTCCATTTTTAATTAACTGGATTATTTTGTCTAAGTTTCTGTTTTTATTTGTAAGTTCGGTGTACGTTCCCTGGATACTTTTGATGATTTTATAGTTACCCCTTTTCATTTAAGTTAAGCTCCTATTCTTATATTGCTAGATATATTGCTATCTGTCAGAAATGTACAACAACGTGGCACAACCTAGATTTCGTTACACACCTTTGGAGCGTAAACATTTAATTGGCTCGATCTTAAGACCACTTGTTATGTTCGTAATACCGGAGCTAACGATGCACGTCAAATGGATAGGTTTCCCTGTCTTTACCAGAACGAATAGAGTAAATTAATCAAAACCGAACAACATATTTTCGTCATTATAAACAAAATTCGAATCGAAAAGAAATATCGCGAATGCAATTAATTATGTAACACCAGAGACAGGCAACTACCGCGTAGTACATGAATGATAAGATACGTGCGAACGAGTAGCGTAAACGCACTCGACTATCTGAGTGGTGCGTGTACACTGTAAATGTAGGGAACTAATATGGTCAAGGGATCCCAGTCATGTCATTCAGCCCAACGATTACAAACAATTTTCTGCGTTGAATAAATATCTTCGCAGAAGAGAAACGAGGCCTTTAATGAGAGTTTCTCGTTCGAGTCTCTACCAAGAATTGGAGAGCTCTTGTAAACATCATCGATGCCGAACGACAGGACTCTATGCGATTGCTCCGTGTCAATCGCCAAGTCATTTAACTGTCAGAGTGCTTTGAGTATGCGACAGCTAGGCTGTTCAAACTTTTGAGTACCTGTAGAATTACAGACGAAGAGGGGCAAAATTCTTAGGTAGATACAAAATTATACGTAAATCATATCTAAACAATTGTTTATATGTTACCAACTAATTCGATTAGTATGAAATTATGGAGTTACTAAAATTATTTCTATTCCTACCAAATTAAGAAGTTACCAGAATTCACTCTGTTACTGATAAATTGTAGGTAGATGATACATTGGATCTAGATGTTTATTCTGTGCCTTTGCAATGTTATCGTTAAACTTTAAGCAAAATTCAGGTTAGAATATACCGAACAAAAAGATATCTGCAATGCGTAATTTTTCGTTGTATATATCTACATTTGAGTAAAAGGAAGTTCGTATCTATATGCAAAAATCATTAGTGATTCAAAGTAGGTGAAATATAAATAAATAACAATTGTGACAAGTGATATCACTATTGGACAAAAAGATTGATTGCTTTAACAATTCTTGCAATTTTAAAAACATAATAGAGTGACTCGAAAATGACGTTACCATTATCACATAATTAGCACGCCTTATTAGTCGAGTCTCATTGTCGAGAAATATATTGCATTTTCTTACCCGCTGTTTAATGTAAAATTATTCACGACACGTT